ATCATTAGTCAATTTCCTACAGACACATCAAGGAAACCCAAAACATAGTTGTAAATACTTTGTATTGCATTGGCAAGATTAAAGTATCATCAAAAACAGATTTTATCACTATTGAAGAAAAACGACACATAGTTACAAAATATTCTTTCTGGCAGTATCCTTAACTGTACCCTAAAATTAAAACCCATGTAGATGGCAACTGGATAATCTCTGTACTGTAATATACACAGACCACATGTTAGATCCTGTTTTCTTTATATTTCGAAATGTCATCTTTACCAATTTGCATCATCTATCTCAACCTAGTATGAGTATGTTGTTGATTAATCCAAGGATAATACATTAGGCTTGGGATGCTTAAAGATGTTATATCACATCTTGGGCATGGTCATGCATCTGCTATCAGATGGCAAAAAGTAATCCCCACATCCACAGTTCAATCAGAAGTTGGAATTGCCGACACACTGATGCAGCCAAATGCAAGTCAATTTAGTTAACCCATTACCTCCGTCCAATGGTTTTACTTACATTCTAATCTGCATTGACAGGTTTTCTAAATGGCCAGAAGTGGTACCAATAGTCCACATTTCTGCAGACACTATAGCAAAGCAATGCTACACCACATGGATCACCAGTTTTAGTGTGTCGCCAAAAAAAAATTGTCAACCGACTATGGGTGTCAATTCGAATAACCTCTTTGACCAAATTTCTCAGTATTCATAAAATTTGCACCTCAGTTTATCTTCCAAGTTACAACAGATTAGTTGAATAATATCATTATTTACTTAAGCAATCCGTACATTGCCAACTTCCATCCACAAGGTTGATGTGCTTCTGACTGTACTACTGAGTTTGCAAGTAACTAAACATCCTTTTTAAACCCGCTGGGGAATTCACACAAGATATCAAGAGTTATAGGGCCCATCTCCTTGAATGAATCATTGCTTGAAAAATGACTAACTTTTTTCCAGACACCAAATTATTAAACATTTCTAAAAATAATCAGATGTTCTAACTTCATTGTCATAACTACATAACTTGCTATACTATTTAACACAACCTATGTCTAGTTCGAGATCTCAGCAATTGAAGGTCTTAATCACAAAATACTATGTTAGCTATTTTTTAGAATCTCATACAAAAGGAATGGGTATGCAATTCCTTCCTATATTATTGTTACATCAACCAAAATGTTTAATATTTGTGTTGCATATACTGGGTCAGAGAAAGGAAATTTTAATTTCCCATTGCAAGTAAAGAACATATTTGACATATTTTCATGTTGTGAAATTTTACTCTTTATTTCTGTACGAAGTAGTTGAAGGTTTCAATAAAAAATAGGGAAAGACCTTTGTTTGTTTTCCACTATAAAACTTTTTTATTGTTTTCTATTGGTAATTGATCATCTATTTTTATTACCTAGAAATTTGAATGATTCACCTTGAATCAGTTTGTCAAAGGAAAAAGGGAGGGTAATGGATGCTTACATACAAAAATCCTTGTAGGAAGAAAAGGGGGGTTACCCAACTCAGAATACAAAAATAAATGTTTAGGAAGACAATCTACCACCTTCCTAAATCCCTCACAGCCCAATCCCCAACAACTCCACAACAGAAATAAGTGAATTTAAACTACAACATAGTTTAATGGAGATTATGGAAAACGTTCAGAAAATGATAGAGACAATGTTTGTACACATTTGCAATATTTTTGAAACCAGGAAAAAAAATCTGCGTCCTCCCCAGTCGGAAAAAATCTACCAGCAAAATGCTTCAAAACTTTTGTATCCCCATACTTGGAGCATCTAATAACATAAATAATACACCTAATGAGATTGATATAGGATGATCTGTTTTAATAAGAGTTTTTTATATTTGATTTCATATGTGGACAAATTCTCCATGATTAAAAAAAATTTGTTTTTCTTCTCAACCCAATTATTCTCCCAATTAAAAAACCATGCAAAGACAAAACTAAAATTTCATCCTACAGATTAATAGCTTTAACTTCCATATTTTCTAAAACATTTGAAAGAATCTTGACTAGACGCATATCTTACTTTCTGACAATAGAACGAAAGCTACACACTCATCATTACGGATTTCTACCATTTAGAGATAGTAGAGCAGCCACATACCTGATTCATAAAGCTATCGCAGATGCCAAACAAGAAGAAAAAAAATTTGTGGGAATTAGCTTGGATATAAAGGGACCTTATGATTCAGTTTACATAGATGGTCTCTTATGCAAATGTCATCAAATTGGAATAACTGGGAAAATAGCTCTATGGATCCACAAATTTCTAACTTTACGATCTCTACAGATTCAATGGAGGAACAGTCTTTCATCAAAAAAATCTGTTCTAAAAGAAGACCCCCCAGGGCAACGTCCTCTCGCCCATATTACTTACTATTTATAAGTGTGATCTCTTTGAAACATTGGAAACAGGAGTAGATTCTCAGTTTATGCAGATGATATTTTTATTTATTGTTTTCATCAGTCCCTGGATACAGTCAGTAGAAAATTGCAAAATACCTTAGAACAAATAACGCAATGGTGCAACTATTGGAAACTATCCCCAAGTCCTGATAAAAGCACAATTGCAGGATTATATTATAAAAGAATACAAACGTTTCCTAATATTATGTTGGCAGGATCCATTCTCATATTGCAAACTTCTGTTAAATATCTAGAAGTATATTTTTCCAAACAGAATCAAAATCTTACAACAATGAACCACATGAAAAACAAAGCTTTGAAAAAAATGAATGGCCTTAAAGGAATAGCATATAAGCACTTCGGTCTGAGATAACCAATAATAGTCAAATTAACCAATAATAGTATTTGCAGCTCCTTTTACTACACATGTCATATCATAAACAAATGGTCAGATATTCAGTTCAAACCTGTTACTACCATTCAGACCACAGCACTCAGAATCGCATAGGGTTTACCACAATGAACTCCAAATATTGTTCTCCTACAAATAGCTGATCAGGAAATACTGTCAGAGAAAATCAAAAGATTAGCAAATTAATTTTTTATCTCCCAAATTTCGAAAGGGGAATTTTCTCCTCTGCATCTCAATAGCCTGGTACTATACATATAAAAATTCTGGAAGACAAAAATAATATCTCAAATATTTTTCATACGTCGAATATTAACGGGCAGCAAATAATAACTTTCCCTAGATTACAGTATTTCACAGAACTTCCTTGTGAAATTTACACCAATCAGTTTGAACTGCAGAATAAAAACCATCCTATTTTTGTTATTAGAGGATTATTCGAAGAAACAGTGAACAAAACTACCAGGATTAATTCATAATAACTACGGATGCTTCAAAAAACCATAACATGACTTCTACTGCAGGCATAATGAAAAATTCCTCCTTTACTTACAATTTAAATCCCAATAACACTATTTTTACAGCAGAAGCTCTGGCCATATGCCAAGCTTTAGAAGACCTCACAGAATTAAACAAAAAATTATTAATTTTATCAGATAGTCACTCTGTTCTAGCTGAACTAAAAAATTACAATATAAAATCTCCAAAAGTTAGTCACAGATTAGCCAGCAAAATTAAAGGCTATGAAATATTCTCGTTTATTTAAATATGAACAAGCCATAAAAATATGCATGATATCAATCAATCTTTTGAATTTTAATTTTAATCAAGATAATTTCAGTTTGAAAAAAAATCGAATTATTCTACTTTTAAAGAGTAGCACATTTTTATTAAAATACAAAAATAAGGATACATTCTTTAAACATACTTATTATAAATAAAAATTTCATACTTGTTAAAAAAATAAAGATCATTTACCTAAAGCAAAAATCTAGCATGTTTCATTTTTTTAAAGAAATAAACAAATGGAATCAATAATTATTTGTTATTCTGATTTTAGGTAATGAATTAAACTGCAAAAACAAAAATAGAAATAAGGTGAGCCTAATTTCTATAAAGTGATAAATTGAAAAGAAGCGAAGTAAAATTCTTAAAAATTTCTTTACCTGCATTAATACTGACAACGTCAGGGTCAAATATTCCATCAACTGCCAATAAATTGCAAGATAACTGAAAAGTAGATTTATAAAAAAAAGACAAGAAGTACAGATAAATTATATATGTAAAATCTTTAAAAATTAAATAGAAACAAACACAAAGATAGAACCGAAACAAAATTAAAAGAATGAGAAAAACTAACATGATAAATGTTTAATAATCCATAAACAAGGATACATGAATATATATCTAGTGATTCATACTAGATATATATTCATGTATGCATAAAAATATTTAACACGAAGTTTTTGAATAAATGTATTTCAATGCAAATTTTGGAAAACTGGTATGAAGTTTCATTTAAATCAACAATAAATGTATCATTTTTAACTTTTATTTAAAAATGTTCCTTATAGTTAAAAAATGAATAAAGTCATTATACCTGGGTTTCATTAGCAAATCCTTTTGGAAACAAAGGTCTAAGAGATCTATCTGAAGGAAAAAAAAATGACCATAAAATTTTAAAATAATTTTTTATATCATTTGAAACAAAAAATTTAATAATTTAAAATCTAGATTATTGAAGTACAAAATATTTAAAGAAGCAAATTAACCACTTAACAGATTAAATTTTTGTAGCAGGATAATCCAAAATTGCAAAATTGGTTAAATGTTGAAAGATACTATTACAAAACACAAAAAATAACTTTTAATTCTACAGATGTAACAACTGTAATTTAGCACTACCTTCCATGTACTATTAAACGGTAGCCAGATGGCACCACATGTTCTTTTTGGAAAGGGCAAACACGATGAAAGAGAGTGACTTCTTAGCAGAATGATGTATGTTCGTGAATCTGTATTTTATATATGTTTTGTATCCTGTCTTATGTGGTGGAACGTGTCTAATATTAAATAATATTTGTTCCTGAAACCATTCTGGCTGTTCATTATTTTGTCCTGAAATAATAACAACATTAGAGGGATACATTGGCACCCAAAGTGGGGTTCGAACCCACGACCCCAAGATTAAGAGTCTCGTGCTCTGCCGACTGAGCTAGCCGGGCCCTACATTGTGCTATTCCAGAGATCACCTACCTTTGTGGTAGCCAATTGTGACAAACCTAATGAACCTTTAGGTGTTTACCATGCATCAGCTTTAACTCCTTTTTTAAATAACACTAACACAGAGAACCAATCTCCTGTTGTGCCTCTCAGGAGAAGAGGAAGACCTCGAAAGCAACCATTGATTCCTCGAGGAACTGCTAGAGAGAATGCCATGTCTATTATTACACCACTTCGTTGAAATGGCCTTCGGAGGTATAGGGGAAGATGTAACACCGTAATTTAGCACTACCTTCCATGTACTATTAAACAATAGCCAAATGGCTCCACATGTTCTTTTTGGAAAGAAGCGCAAGCACGATGAAAGAGAGAGACTTCTTAGCAGAATGATGATGTATGTTCATGAATCTGTGTTTTATATATGTTTTGTATCCTGTCTTGTGTTGTGGAACATGTCGAATATTAAATAATATTTGTTCCTGAAACCATCCCAGCTGTTCATTATTTTGTTTTAAAATAATAACAACATTGGAGGGATACACAATGAATTATTCGAATAACTTTATTGGATGTACTTATTCAAAAATAGAATAAAAATACAAAAAGAAATACATTTCAAAAGAACAATTTATTTACCAATAACACGACTAGTCAATATTTCTTGTTCAGTTGTTCCTATTTCTCTTCGCAAATAATTTGTAGGAATGCGACCAGCTGCTGCAGCCTTTTGTCTGTATTCAACCTATAATAAAATAGCAATTTGAATTTCAATTTTGTTATTTAATCAGATATTAACATTATAAGGCATCACATTGATAAGTTTTTCATTATACAATAAGTAGTATCAATTAAGTGCATGGATTCATTCTGTTTAAAATCAGAGAAATTATTCACAAAAGTAAGTAAAATAAAAGATAATACCCTATTTCATTGCCATGATTTTTGTACATATAATTATTCAGAAAAAATAACAAAATTTATTTAAAAAATTACAAGATTTTCCGAAAAAATGTATACTAAAATTAGAAATCTACAACAAATTTCGAAACATATCGTTACAAAAATTCCAAGTGTATGTGAATGAAATCAAGTCCAACACTGAGAATAGTGACAAATGATTCTTTACTCATAAATATTCTGGACAAGAGGAACACAGGTAACAAAGCTTCAAAACATTAACAACACAAACAGGAGCACTTGTACAAAGAACTGGATGTTTTAAAACTTAGTGGATGCTATAGTGGATGTTTTAAAACTTGGGAGGGTAATCAAAAAGCTAAATACTCAGTTTTAAACAGTGTAAAAAATTGCAATTATATAAGTTTCCATGGAAAAGTTTTAAATCATTGAAATTAAATGTTATAATTGTATTAAGATGTCTGAAGTGTGTCATTTCTACCAGAGGAACAGGATCACTCATAATTCATGTATCACTCATTTCTATCTAAAGGGTTTTAAAAAAAGTTCTTCCTTTTTTACAAAATTATCATAGGAGTTAATATAAATATTGGGATTTTACCACACTGAGAATTTATTTGCTAAATGAACAGAGAGAGAATTTTTTAGATTTGGAAGTAGTGATGTAAAACAAATCTAGTCCCCAATTTTGGTAATTCATTTTTTCTTCATTAAATGTAAAAAATTTCATTTTTAAATAAGAAAATATTTTTAGATGACAATATTTATCACCTATAGTCAAATCGAGATGATGACTCTCACTAGAATGGTACCAACTTTCATGATAGACAGGATTTTACAATGCCAATTTTTTTTATAAAAGCTCTTGAAAGATATTGTTTAAAAATTCATATGGCCTAAGAGAACAGCAATGAAAATACTACATTCAACAAAATAGTTAACCATGTTAAATAACTTTATTTTGTTACAATTCAAAAGCCAATTTGGGCAAATAATACAAATCACAAATGACGAAGTTTTTCTTTCCTTTTGAAAAAGGAGAATTAAATAATAATAATAATAAATGTCGATTAGATTTGCTAAATGTAAAAATTCTTTTAAAAAAAAACAAAATCAATATTTAATAGAGAAAAATCTAATTTATTTTCATCAGATTTTCAATTTCAAATACAAATTTCATGTTTTACTCCCTGGGTAAAATGATACGCAGATTAATTTATTTTGGTCAATCTTTACATTATTTTTAGCAATCAATTAACTGCCACAATTCTTTATTTCAAATTATTAAATGAAGTTGAAATTTATCATTAAATAAAAATGTGGATTTAATTTTAAAACTGATATTTTCATTAGTATTCTAAATTATATTTATAAGAAGAAGGCAATCTACCTATAAGAAGTAAGGCATTTTAGAAAGAACTGGTAATTGAATATTTAAAAAACTCTACATGTTTCTTTTTGAATGAAATATTGATACAAAAAAAAATAATTTTGGTAAAACTGTTTTTTTTTTTTTTTTCCTATTCACAAAAAAAGAAGAAAAATGTTATCAAACTTTAAAAAATTTCTTAATTTCCAAACAGAACAAAAATAATTTTAGATACAAATTCTTTTATACAATAAGTAAACATATGCTAATAATTGAAAATAACTCATTAAACAGTATGTTATAGAAATTTAAATAATAGTTTTTAAAAAAAGGAACAGAACATTAGAAGCAATAAAATAATATGTTAAGTAATAAACACATAATACATTTTATTAAATAATTTTAAAAATTTACATATACAAAGAAAAACTTAATATTAATTTTTAAGAATTTTTAGAAAGCAGAAATCATATTCATTGTAATAATTGGAAAATAACTAAAATAAAATAAATATATAAATATTATCTACGGATTATAATTAAAAGTTGATATATACTTACTAAAAGAGGTACAAAGGAAGCAACACTATTTTTCCCTTTGCTTACAGCTGCAACCATTACAGAAGTATTACCTAATTGAGCAACACAACAGCCATCTGCAAACTTAGCTAGTTTGCCAAAACTTAATTTAAGGGACTGCCTGTAAAATTAAAAGTGTGATACAAATAATTAAATACAAACAAATACATATACATAAGTATTACATAACTAAGATTTTACTGCCTTAAATTTATTCTTAAATACGATATCCTTTTGAAAATGTAGGGAAAGAAAGTGATTATCACAATTAGATTAGAAATAAATTAACTACTGTATTGGATTACAAGATTCTTTAAAATGAAATTAACTAAAATAGTATAAAATGATTTAGTAAAGTAAAAGTTTATTCACTTTATAATTGATTTTTAAAGGGTTTTTAATGATATCAACAGAAATTTACAAATTTTACCAAAATAATTAGGGATCACAGTTGAGGAAAGAAAAAAAGATTTATTAGGTTTGGTTTTATTAACGTCGCACTAGAAGCAACATGAGAGCTATTGGCAACGGACCTTATAATTTTGAACCTCAGTCAAGTGATGAAGAGGACTCCTGAGCTGGCTGTGTGTGTGTGGATTTATTCGAAAATACTTAAATATCCAGCTACAAGTGTTGAAGTTTAGTTTAGTTTAGTTTGTATTAACGTCGCACTAGAAGCAACACGAGGGCTATTGGCGACGGACCTCGTAATTTTGAACCACGGTCAAGTGATGAGGACGACACCTGAGCTGGCACCCCCTCTCCTAACATCCACACCACGCCAACGGGAGGACTTTGGACCCTGAACAGATTTAACGTGCATCAGCCCTGGCTACACGGCGGGTCTTTGGCGGGCAAGGATCGAACCCGCGACTGAACGAAAACCACCAGCCACGAGTCCACGACCTTGACCACTAGGCTATCGCGGCCCCCTACAAGTGTTGAAAAAGAAACAAGTGAACTGTGCCTGTTTGGTACAAAAAATGTGCGATATGACTATAACAGAAAAGTAATGCAATAAGTTCCAATCAGAATAAAACTCGATTGAAACTTTTGAAAAAAGTGCCTTTCAAATCAATTTTTCATGAATGATATGCTCATGTGTAGCATAAGGACAACTGGCAATAAGCTTCATAATTTTGAAACCTAATAAAGTTATCTGAACTAACACTCTTTCTCCAAACTTTTACACCTGAGGTCTTAAGACTGGATGCCGAGGAACCCTAGGGTTCCCTGGAGATTTGACAGATGCAAGGGATACCAATTTGCTTAACTAAAGTGCCAAAATATTTGACAGTTTGCTTGTAAAAGTAAATATTAATAAATATTTTATAGATAAAATAAAATCATGCACTTCAAATACATTAAACGAGATGCATTAGGTCACATCCATCATTCTTTGGCTTAGGTCAAGAGTATTCAACACTTTGGGGAATCCTTTGAGCTTAAAGCATTTTCAAGAGTCATAAAGTGACCAAATATATGAACTCGGCCATGAACTCGCTGTAACCTCTCAATTAGACGTATTTGTTTTATATGTATTTTTTTCCAAATTCTTTCCCCTGTTTAAAGGTTTGATATCATGATAGATAATTGGGGAGGTTTGTGGCAACACAATGAACATTGACAGAAAATTTTATGGCTCATTAGGGTTTAGTTTAGTTTCTTTATTAAATCTCACTAGAAGCAACACGAGGGCTATTGGCGACATACCTCGTAATTTTAAACCACGGTCAAGTGACGAGGACAACACCTGAGCTGGCACCCCCTCTCCTAACATCCACACCCTGCCAACTTGAGGACTTTGGACTCCAAACAGATTTAACGTGCATCAGCCCGGCTACACGGTGGGTCTTTGGCAGCCAAGAATCGAACCCACGACTGCACGAAAACCGCCAGCCGCGAGTCCACGACCTTGACCACTAGACTACTGCAGCCCATAGCTCATTAGGAAGCCCCGCTCTTTCCCTTATGGTTGAGACATTTTTTGTTATAATTTAAAATATTCTTGCTATTGTTAGAATATATTTTAGAAAAAAAATTCTCATTGGCTACCTTATCATCCATTGTCTTATGAAGATGTTTTTATTGCGATAAAATAAAATACCAATAGTAATTTTGAGCAGGATTAAAGCTT